ATTCTTGGAGAGATTTCTCCTACTTAGAGAGTTTTGGGAGAGTTAGAGTGAAAGAGATTGGGAGAGACTTCTTTTGTGACCTTTTTGAGTGTTTGACTTTGTAACACAAGGTTTGTAAACCTCGTTAGGTCTCGTTATGATTGTTATATGCCCCCGAGGGTTAAGGAATAATGTTTTATCGAGTAGTTTCATCGCTTGCCCTGATTAGGGTTTGGAATTTCCGAACACGTGAAAACTCTAAGTGATACTTTGTATTAAGATTGCGAGTTGTTCAATAAGAAACATAATGGAAACCCTAATATACAATGGTTAGATGAGTCGACCGGTTTGACTTGTTGACTTTAGTTGACTTTGACTTGGCCAAAATTGACGGTTGTCACAAAACCAATTTGATAGGACATAATCTCATTAAAAGTATAATGCTATAAAAGTACTAGAACCTTCTTTAAAAATCATACTCTAGTTACTCTAGGAAAAATGTGAAATAATATGCTAATACATGAAAAAAAACATCATACTTTAATATGTAGTTAGTGTAGCGTATGTGGTTAATCGACACACTAATAGGGACTTTAAAGAGAAATGATGGACATATCGAAAATTATCATTGTTAATGGAGTGTGTGTGATTAAACGACACATTAATTAGAGATGATAAGTGACATCGAGGGTGCCAAGTGTGTTTACATGGTTATTCACATCTTGTTTGTGATCCTCGTCATCCCTGTCACAAATAAAATAACATAATCTGATATTAAACATGTCATTGATAAGATTCAATGAATCTCAAAAGATCTAGGATTTTCATAGTTTGAAATTGGTGAATCGTTCTTACCTAACTTCATAAATTTGCAATACGATTACGACATCCCTCTTCTTAGTTGTGATTTGTTATATTGGATCCTAGCCTTAAATATTAATTATGGGTTAAATTATTAAGGAATTCATATTAACTAACTAAAACTACTTCCTTCATATAGATGTCTACTCCAGGAGAAGCTACTGATGCTCAATCATCTACCAAAAACAACTTCACTCTATTATCGATCCTCTCCAAAGAGAAACTAGCTAGTCCATACGACATGGACTGGATGTGAAATCTCAAGATGACTCTTCGACATGAGGGTAAAGAATATATTCTCGAGAAACCTCTTGTCAAAGTCGATAAGTTAACTGCTACTCCAGAAGATATTGCTACCTACAAGAAACACTATGATGACGCAACGAAGGTCAAAGTGCCCAAAAATGATGTATGAGTAGGACGATAAAAGGTAAGACCAAAGGCCAAAGTGCCTTTCACATATCGTAGGATCCGTTTAACAAGCTTTATATGATGGACTGTAGGAGCCTACATGAACTGACTGGCTTGATTAACAGCATATGAGATATCACAACGAGTGATGGTCAAATACTGAAGTGCCCTCACGAGAGACCGGTACTTAGTAATGGCCTGGAATGATTCACCAAGAGAGGTGAAAGTATCCTTCGCTGCTAAAGGTGTATGAACGGGTTTGGAGTTTAAAAGATCAGCTCGTTTAAGAATCTACGTTGCATATTTGGATTGAGAAAGGAACAGTTCATCGTCCCATCGAGTAACTTGAAGGCCGAGAAAGTAATTTAGATCTCATAAATCCTTGATGGAAAATTTAGAATGTAAACGAGAGATGAAGGAACATAGCACAGAATCACGATTCCCAGTGAGGATCAGATCATCAACGTACACAAGTAGATACAGGAGGCAATCATCTTGTAAGAAGACAAATAAGGAGGGATCAAAACGACTACACCGAAACCCATTTTGTAGGAGAAATTTGCTAAGACGTTGGAACCAAGCACGGGGAGCCTGTTTAACCGATATACATGATTAGGAAAGCGAGAATCCACAAATCCCGGTGGTTGTTCCATGTATACAAGCTCACTTAACTGGCCATGGAGAAAGGCATTATTAACATCAAGTTGATGCAACTTCCAACCATGAATGACAGCCAGAGAAAGAACTATGCGAACAGTAGCGGCTTTGACCACAGGACTAAATGTGTGAGAGTAATCAAGCCCATATGTTTGACTGAACCCTTGAGCAACGAGACGTGCTTTGTGCCGTTCAATTGATTCATCAGATAAATACTTTGTACGATACAACCATTTGGAACCAACAACATTGTGAATGGCGGGGCAAGGAACGAGTGTCCAAGTGTTATTATTATGAAGAGCATTAATCTCTTGTTGCATTGCCTGCATCCAATGAACGGATTGAGCAGCCGTCTTGAAACCTTTAGGATCAGAGGCCGCAAACAACGCCGTATAGAGAGGGGTGATATTAGTAAAAGCCAAATCAGCCCTATGTTTGGGCTTGAAGATACCTGCTTTTGCACGTGTAGTCATTGGGTGAGATGGAGCAAGGGGTGGAACACGAGTAGCCATGGGGATTGGGGAAGATGGCTCATCAGAAGGCGACAAAGTGCTTTGTGAGGCCGGTGAAGTGGGTTCACTAGTGGGTAGAGGTGTTGGCGAAGTTGGTTCATTAGGTGGAGGCATAGCATCATCACAGTAGCCGCATCCAAGCGAAGGTGAAGGGGGTGCTGATTTCGAGACAATTGGGGGAGTCGTTCTGGGTGAAATCAATGGGAAATCAGTCATGAAGGAGCCCAAAGGTAAGTTGTTGAAATCAGTTGTGGAGTTTGTGCCGCCAAAAGGATACGTGGACTCGTCAAAACGAGCATGACGGGTAATGTATATACGAGACGTAGTCGGATCTAGACACCGATAGCCTTTTATATTGTGATGAGTATCCCATAAAGACACACGGTAGGCTACGAGGAGTGAGTTTGTCGGTGGCATAGTTCCAAAGATATGGAAACACACGACATGCAAATGTACGAAAGTTTCCATACGTCGGTTGTCTAGAAAAAAGAACTTCAAAAGGAGATTTGCCATCTAATATCGGAGTGGGAAGCCGGTTAATAATATAAATAGCCGAGCTAAAAGCATCTACCCAATAAGCTGGCGGAACATGACCATTAAAAAGCATAGCCAATCGTGTTTCAACAACATGTCGATGCTTCCGCTCAACCCAACGTTTTTGTTGAGGGGTGTATAGACAAGATAAGCGGTGGAGCGTGCCATTTTCTTGAAGTAGGTGACGAACATAGTGATTGACAAACTCGGTGCCCCTGTCACTTTGAAAAATTTTGATTTTTCTGGAGAATTGTGTTTGTACAAATTTCATGAATTTTGAGAAGATAACATGGAATTCAGATTTCGTTTTTAACGGATATAACCAACTAAAACGGGAATAATCATCCACAAATAAAGCATAATATCGATAGCCATCAACAGATAAAACCGGGGATGGCCCCCATTAATCACAATGAACCAAGTCAAGTGGGTATAAAGCCTGTTTTTCATTAACCTCAAAAGATAATCGTTGTGCCTTAGACATTTGACAACACGAACACAAAAGAGGTTTAGGTAGTAAAGAAGTGACAGATAACCTCCCCATTTTATTTAAAAGCAAAATAGTATCAAGAGCCACATGACCCAACCGTAAATGTCATAACTCAAATGAAGCCTTTAAGGATGAAGCAGCAACAAGGGCTTGAGGACAAGAATGGAGCACATATAAACTGCTTTCACATCTGCCTTGGGGACAAGAATGGAGCACATATAAACTGCTTTCACATCTGCCTTGGGCTAGGACTTGTCTCGTGGAGCGGTCCTGAATATAGAAATTAGGATGAGAAAATAACACATCCAAATGATTATCAACGGTCAATTTACAAACATAAAGTAAGTTTTTGGTAAGGCGTGGGACAACCAACACGTCATTCAAACGAAATTGATTGTGAACCATAGTTTGACCAATATGGGAAACAAGAAGCGAATTACCATTCCCAAAAGTGACATTGGCAGGAGACGGTTGTGTAGTACCCGGAGTGACCGTATCCGAGGATGATGTCATATGGTCAGTAGCCCCAGAATCAACATACCAATATGGGTGTGAAGGAGCAATAGTGCATTAAGCATGAAAAGCATTTGCAATATCGATACCGGGTGTAGTAGTTTTAGCAGCAAAACTTGAAAGTTGAGGGCAAACATTGGCATAGTGACCATCAGTACGACATAGTTGACAGTGGGCAGGTCGCCTACCACGTCCCCAACCACCATTGGAACCGCTACGTGAAGGCCGGAAGTTGGTGCGAGATTTATTTAAGGGGGTAGTGGAGGGGCGAACCGCAGAGAAAGCAGCAACGGAATGGGTGGAACCATGCAGTGATTTCAAGAACAACTCGTGACTCTCGACTTGAGCCAAGAGGTCACGAAAGGAAGGCGCCGGTCGAGTGGTTCTCACAGCAGTTGAAAAAGTTTCAAACGAGAGTCCTAAGCCGCACAGGAACCAATGTAACTTGTCCGAGTCATCAACGGGATGTCCTATGGCCGCCAATTGATCACAAAACCCCTTAAATTTACGGGCAAATTCAGCAACAGTAGACACACCTTTCACCGATTGACGAAGTTGGTCACGCAAGTTCTGGATCCTTTCAACAGAAGAGTTGTTGTAAGCAGTCTCAAGCGCCAGCCAGATGAGGCGAGCAAACGGAAGGCCTACAATCTCAGCAACTGCCTCCTCAGAGAGGGAGGCATGAAGGATAATGATTGCTCGTTGATCATCAATTTTCCAAGTGGTATAGAGAGGATTAGGGCTGGACTTGCCGTCAGTTAGAACTTCAGGAGAAGGAGCGACTACAGAACCTTCAATGTGAGGAAGAAGGTTCTGATAAGCAAACAGGGATAGCATCTGATTTTTCCAGAAGGTAGTTTGAAGGAGATAACTTGATGGTGATCATATGAAGGAGGGTATTCATGGGGAGGGTATGATCTACGGAGGATGAAGACATAGTCACCGGAAAAAAGAGAAGAAGAAAGAGATTTAGGGGAAAGAGGAAGCGAAATAGGTGGAAAAACAAAGGTCACAGGAACTGTCTGATACCATGTGTTAATAGGTAATTGAAAAACCCCTGACCCAATACGTGGGCATCGGAGCAATATATATATTAAAGAAATTTACAATTTGCTATACAAAGAAATAAAGAATTGCAACAAGGGACAGACAATAATAAATGAAAAATAATCAATTTATATTAACAATCACTCATCATTTAATGACAATAATGCAATACGAATAAACAAATTTGAGACCCCTGGGCTAGCTACCAGCTAGCATATTAGTCCATAGATGTGTGGGAATGGATTTGTCAGTGCTAGTAGAAAGGATGCCACAAGATCTTTATAGATGGCTGTGAATCATGCTGGATACTAAATGTCTTTCTATGTTCGCGTCCCGTGTACCAAAATTCAGAGAAATCTGTTGTTTGCACCTGATCACCTTTACTTTTCTTAGGAACGAGCACAGCTCCAACATAACTCTTAATTGCAAGTGGATTCCGATACGTTTCTTCTAATGAAAAAGAAATGATGTTGTATGATGAAGTTGACCACGTGATGTGCTTCAATGAATTAAAGGAGACATATCCTATGTATGTTGTTGTTTTGATATATTCAGGCTCCAGTGCTTCATTAGACTCCTGCCAAAAGTCGAATCGAGAATCTTCTCCGTCTACGTCTCGCTTGATTATTATAGTAATTCTGGGACATTCGATGTCGGTGACTATGCATACTAAGAACCCACAAAAGTCATTATACCAACCATCTGGAAGATGCAGTTCACATGTTTTTCCCCCAACTACAAACCCCTTTGGAATAATCTGATTTTGTAAAAGACATTTCCCTGATAAAACGACGCTGATAAAGTGATCCATAACAGCGTTTCCCTGCCATGGAAAAAAGATTCGGTTACTCGTATGTTTGGTGTTATATAATAAAGATTGAAATTTGAAAGGTTCATAATTAAAGCCTAACCCGGAGCATGGAGTCTAGTAATATGTCACCACCAAGTGTCTTATCCCAGTACTGAAGTGAGACCTTCCACAACCATTTACAGTTTGAAATATCTCCAAAGCTTTCCAGTGAGCTACAACCATTCGCTATAACAACAGCTATACTTGATGGGAGCCCTGACAATTCCACAAGATTGAAGCAGGCTGCCAGGTTTAGCCATTTGAGCCGAGGAAGTTTCAAGAGACTAAAATTCAATCTTGAAAAATTATTTGCTGCTAAACTGAGTTCTTGTAAGTTGGGTAACTCCCAAACACAAGAGCCAATGTATTCATCTCCTAATTCGCACTGGCCGAGATCCAACTCTCTTAAGCTTCTATACAGAAACCGTAACCCTATGTTGTTGGGAAGTAAACAAGGCTCCTCTAAGCAACATTGTAAACCACCAAGATTGCTGCAACCACACGTCCAACAAGTAACACAAGAGTTTGTAAAAGTTTTTTTATAGGATGCAACCTCTTTCCCACTATTATCATCCATATTTTGTTGTTGGGTGTCTGAAATCTTAAATAGTAGTGTCGGGCAAGCAACGAATGTAAGGGTCTCCAGCTTATTCAGTCGAGTAATGGGCGGGAACTTCTTAAGACAGTAACCACCCCTTATACACAAGAGAACAAGCCTTTCCAAGCGTGCAATAGATGGATGAACCTCTTCTAAACAATCACATCTGTAAATCGTGAACGTTTCAAGATTTGGAAGCCCATCAAAATCTGGTGTGACGACTAGCTTTTCAAAACCATATAGCTCCATGTTTCTCAAATTTGGCAGAAACTGTTGTATATGTTGGCAATATATTAGTATTTAGTAGAAGAAATCCCTATCGATTAAAGATATACATGGAATTGAAGATATTTCTAATAATAGGGGATGCATATAGGAAAGCAGAAGAAAATTGTATATGTGTAAAGACAGGATATCTAGATGGAGGATGAGCCTTTTATATAGATGCCATGTATTACAATGACCATTGACCAAAATGTGTCAATATCATATTAAACAAGTTATTATTTAAAGAGTTTATAATTATTAATCATAATTTGTCTTATAACATTTATCATTATAAAACCAATAGATATGAAACGCTCGAAGACGTTCAGGTTACGGTTTAGAGCAATCCAGTCTCATACGGGACGTTGAACTAGATACATAATTGGGTTTTATTGTAATATGTAAAATATAACCATATAATGTGGTTTCATGTTCAGAAAAAAAAATATAATAAAACATCCATTTGATTCAACAGGAGAAGATTGAACCGAGTACCTGTTTTTGAAAAGACGATAGAACTGTAAACCAAATAAGTACTCAGTTTAATAAAAATAAAACCAAGAACCAAGAAAAAACTAGCCAACTTAATGTGCCTTAGAGTAAAGTTTGCACATGTCGTATTCGTTTCACCAAATTGACCTGTAAGTGTTAGTTACCTCACCACTTTCACTTTGTATGTTATCACCACAGACTTTGTGATAAAATTTTGACTAGTTATTAACGAAATATTCAAGAAATAGTATAATCGTCTTGATAGCCTGTCAATTTATTATTGCTAAAATACAATAAAATCTAACTGTATGATATATCTTCTATGTATATGTGTGGTTCTTGATGGTTCTATTTCAAATTTTAGCCACTTGTGTTAAAAGGATAGGAAGCAACTTGGACCTGAGGTGGTTATTGTTAAGTGGTTAATCTAGACTTGGTCACTGTGGTGGTTAGTTAATTAACAAATGACAGATATTTAACCATCAAACGGTAGTTAGTAACCATTTATAGCTGTATACATATCATGGATGATGAATAACAGATTACCTTTCAAGTCCTCTTAATACATCCCTTTCTCTTTACATAAAATTTCCTGTGATTATTGCTCTTTAAGCCTCTGCACAAGTTTTTAAGGTTCTGGGAAATCACCAGTCCATCCGAATTTGGGCCCACATGATCCAACTTGCTCTTATTTGGGTTGACCGAAATAGGCATTTCAAACTTGGATTGGGGTAATTTTGAAAATCGGATTACCAAAAAATCAATTCAGCAGTTCAAATCATTTAGGTTATACGGATTGAATTATCCAAATAATTGGATATGGACCATTTGAATTGGCTTATCCCATAATTTTATAACTTATAAGGAGTATATTTCTATACTATGGCATGCCTTTCGGAAAGGGCCAGATGACCAGATCCAAAATTGATAAAATGGAACCAAACCATTAAACTGGTTCCTTATTCGGTTCTACTCAAAAACAGAACCAAACCTGAATAAAAAATGGATTGAAAAAGTTATCTACCCTACACATTCACTTTTAACGAGTCTCATGTTTGTTATTCATGTTTTTTGAAATTTACAATTCACAAATCACGTTTAGCCCTAACAATTGTCTCTTTCTTGAGAAAACTGATTTCATATATAACAATTAGTTGTATATGAAGATGAAAACTAAACTAAGTTAAACAAGCACAAAGAACATTAATGAAATAGAGGCTCAATCCGCTTTGATGTGTTGGCTAGTTATAGAAAATTCCAATCTACTTATGTAATGGCGTGATATGAGATAACGGTGTGCTCATATTCATATAGCTACTTAACTTAAACTATTTAGTTTTCATGTTGCTTCCATGAAATATCTAATTCGAGATATATAAAAAAAAATACCTTATAACCCTCCCAAAGATGAATTTGCTTCACGCTAGTCAATAACAGAGAACACAGCTCCCTGGGTGGAAAATTTTCTGGCAATGTTTGTGTAGTCTCTACACAAGCTTCAGTTTGGAACTCAATGGACCGAAGTTTCTTCAGGCAAGCAAGAACGTGAACAAAAAGTTGTGATTCCTCATCCGTAGCATCCACAAATTTTATTGCTTCAATCTTGTCAAGTGTCTTCAAAAGAGGAATAAGATAGTGTCAGGGTTGCAATGTTGCATTAAGCGTGCTTCTTTATACATAGGTATGAATATCTAAACATGAAAAAGCTATATACCGTTTTGCATCCATAGCAAGTATTCGGAGAACATCATCCTTCTTCCATATTCTACTATGCTTTTCAGGATTATTAGGGTGTTCCCCTCTAACAATAGAATGTCCCATTTCTTGCACCAGATCATGCATATCAAACACTCCATCCGAAATAGTTATGAGAGCCTTTTGTATCAACACTTTAACTCCTATAACAGGATGAAAACCACAAGCATTAAGCCTCTTCATTGACCTAACTATACGTTCCCTCCTGTAAAAACATGCAATATCTAGGAACAACTCTTTCTCAAGTGGTTTAAGTCCATCAAAGCTGATTTTTAGCTTTTCCACAATATCAGTATCTGGGATCTCTTTCAGTCTCTCTAATGCACTCTTCCACTCATGGATGTCTTTGTCGCATAGAAAAGAACCCAAAATTGTAAGTGCTAATGGAAGCCCACCAGCATAAGAGACTACCTCTTTTGAAAGTTGCTCATAGTCTTCCACAGGTCTGTTATCCTGGGGTGCATGCTTGCAAAGGAGCATAATAGCCTCATCTTCGTTTAACAAGCTAATATCATGTATCACATTTACTCTGTGCGCAGTTAACAAATGTTCATCTCTAGTTGTGATTATGATTCGGCTTCCATCACCGAACCAATCACACGATCCAGCTAATGCTTTCAGTTGGTCAAGGTGATCGACATCATCAAGAACAATGAACACCTTTCTATGACGTAACCTATTTTGTATCATGCGTCTTCCTTCCTCGACTCTCCCTATTCCCTGCACTTTCTTTTGTTTCAAAACACCACAAAGAATTTGTTCTTGCAACTTTGCCAGACCATTCTTACTTGATTCCTCTCGAATGTTTTCAACAAAGCAAGAACCATCAAAGTGGCGATAGATTTCACTATATACAGAAGATGCAAGAGTAGTCTTACCACCACCCCCAACCCCCCATATTCCAATCATCAGCACACCACCTGACCCAATTTGCAACTCTGCTTTCAAACTTTGCGAGCGAGCCACTATTCCAATCAGGTTCTCATTTGCACTTAAAGTTACTACCTGCAATCTATGTGAAATTTCAATTACAATTTGTTCGATGCCCTTCGACTCACGCCTGCACATTGGATATACACAAGGATAATTAAAATATGCTCAGCTTGACAAAGGTGGTAATTTGTTACGTATACTGACTACCGGTTATATTTCACATTCAAGTAGAACTTGTAAAGTCAATATCACAAGTCATTTGTACCAAGTTTCTTAGGACAGAATCAGATTAAACAGCTTAGAATTGCAAAAAGTAGAGCAATATCAGTTTGGTGTTAAGTACATAATTCGAATTAGAATTATTACACAATGAAGCCCATCGTAACCCTAGGACTTGGGTACCAAGTTCATGATATACTAATTCTCATATTTGTCATATAGAAACAGTCTAAAGCTTTAAATGTCAATAGGAGCCAACTAGCATAAGAAACCACATCTAGCGAAAGCATTTCATAATCATCTACAGAATCATATTCCTCATATGCATGCATAACAAAAAGCTTAATAGCTTCATCATGGGACAGTACAGTAATATCCTTGATAATATCTACTTGGTGAGTTCTTAACAAATGTTAATCTTTGGTAGTCGTCATTATTATTTGACTCCCTCTCTGAACTGATCAAGTGAATCTAGTAAAACCGTCTATTCGTCAAGGTTATCAGCATCATCAAGCATAATCAAAACATTTGTAGAAAAAGCTTACATGGTACAAGTATAGATGTCTTGTAGAGCATGCATATCTTAAGTATAAAATGTGCAAAAATAAAAAAGAAAACTACCCGTTGGCGATGTGCTTGGGTTCCCATCCAGAGAGATTACTTGCATCCATAAGTGCTTTTCTCCAAAATTCAACCTTCTCATTGTTCTCAAGCTCATGTTTGGCAAATGCTTCCCCATATTTTCGTTTTTGTTTTCGCACTTCAGAGGGGTCCACGCCATAAAATATGGGGATAATGATTTGCCCTCTCGTATCCTTGCAGTTCATAATATAGGCAAGTTCATCTAAGCACCATGAAGAATCCGAATAATTCTCAGAAAATACAACTACAGCAATCTGAGATTCTTCTATAGCCTTCATAAGAGATGGGCCAATCGACTCCCCCCGAGGAAGTGTTTCGTCGTCCTTGTAAGTGTAGATCCCTTGTTTTTCAAGAGCCGAGTAGAGATGATCCACAAAGGTCTTGCGAGTATCTTCACCTCGAAAGCTAAGAAAAACATCATACTTCCACGACTGAGAAGAAAAAGCTGGAGTAGAAGAGGAAGATGATAAAGATGCCATTGATGAGTTGATTTGTTTATGTGGATTGAGCACCTCATTGAACTGATCAACCATATATATAGAGATATGTGACTTTCCATGAAATTTCCAAAATGCACATCTGACTGGAATAATTAGACAAATGAATGAATACAAAGTTATTATTAAAAAATTACTAGACAAATAAATGAAGACAAAACTATTATTAAAAAAATGTTAGACAAATGAATGAAGCCAAAATCGTTAAATAAAAATATGTTCGGTAACTTGTTTTCACATGGAATGATTAAGAAAAGTTTCTATTCTTTCTAGATGTTCGTCCTATTTAAAAAAGAAAAAAAGATAACACCAAATAAAGTTGATTGTCTGTTGGATGATCTTGATGGGTCATGGAGCGGGTCAGATGGGTAGACAGTTGCTTGTTTGTCCTAGTATTATGGAGATGAGGAGCATTGACCGAATATTATGCATGGCAAAATAGGAAGTGGAGATTATGCATAGGCCAGCTAGCAAGCATTTACTTAGCACGTATATTTGTTTAACAGTTTAATTGTGTAGTCTATAATTTGCTTTATAAGGGTAATCAGTTTTCTTCTTGAAAGTAATATAGCAATGAGAAAACCCCAATAACTTGTCCATATAACACTACAAGAAACCGGACCTATAGGGACGACAAATGTCGTCTCTATAGGTTCTAAAAGTCGTCCCTATAGGTGTCCGAGACGACATATCGTCCCTATAGCTCTCGTCACCATAGCCCCGTCGCAATAGATCTTTTTTTCCGTCGCTATAAATACCGTCGCAATAGGTAGCCTTTAGAGACGACATGTCGTCCTTTTTTTGTTCGTCGCTAAGATGCTAGTCTCCATAGATAAATCTATAGAGACGACATGTCGTCTCTATAGGTGCGTCTATAAGACAACAAGTCGTCTCCATAGATAAAGCTATAAAGACAGCATGTCGCCTCCATAGATGGAGATATCTAGTTAATACGTTTCATCCTAAGCAATAAGCTTCGCAATTGCACCTACTAAAAATACCTGTTCACACACCAAAAAAGAGCAATTTGAAACAATAGTTGTCATGCCCTTTGATTCACGAAGCTTATTTTGGGTATGAGAATGCAAGATTGTAGGGCGTCTTTCAGGCTTGCTCTCATCATCCACCAAATCCAATCCCACCACCTTTATAAGATTATTAAAACATTACATACAAATTTTTATGAAATAAATCAAATTCAAATTATGTAATGTGTACAATTTAATTGGTACCTGTTTCAAGAAAACATGCAACTGGGGATGTGAATCTTGATCGATTAAAACATTATCTAAAATTGTCTGAAATGATGTCAAAATTCCCATTTCTTTGTATATGTTGTAAAGCCGGGGTAGCTGAACAACACAAGTATGCACATAAATTATAATGTTAGTTGATATTAAAGTATAAACATTTGGTGTCTTTTAAAGTATTGTAGTAAGAGATCACCTGAATCAACCAGACAACATTCTCACTGTATAATTCATTGTTTACAATCCAACTAGCTAAATTGTCCCATTCACTTTGCTTTCTTCCATATATAGATATTCTGTATTCAGCCATCTGTCAAAAGGCAAAAGCTTTAAGTGTAAGTGTAAGTGTCATGCATGAATCAAAACAGATAAAAGGAATAAATAAATAACATGGATTTCAAAACTCACTTGTCCCATTCACTTTGCTTTCTTCCATATATAGATATTTACTCGCTTCAAGATCTGCAAACACTTGGCTTGTTACCTCAGCAAGGAAACGACCTGAAAAAGTAGTGAAACTTACCCTGAATAAGATTGTCCTGTTTCAAGAAAATCTCCCGAAGCCTACTTTGACCACAGGGGTTGTATTTCAGATTGAATTTATCAAAATGATGAAATGTGCTCTTGTCTGCATGCACATCTAATTGATCAACATTCAGGTCATATCTACATTTAAGACTTATGATCAGAAAAAAAAAACATTCACACAAGAAGATATAATTGTTCTACAGATAGTAAAGTTACCCTGTTAAATCCAAGCTCTCAAAAACCTCTTTTAAGGTCAGATATGTCCCATCACAAAATATTACAACCTGAAACAGAAAAAAAGAAACTTTGATTCATGCAAAAGAGAAACACATTTTTAAATGATCAAGAAATAGATATGAAGCATTACCTCATCTGGTTTCCTTCTGAACTTGGACTTAATGAACCTCAACAGATGCTTTTGATTCATGCTATCTTACAATCTTTATCTGCATAAACATGAACCACGCCATCTTCCATTTGGAAATAATGCTGCAAGCATTTTAATATCAAGTCAAGATTCAAGAAAATAAGCATCAAGAACAAACTTGTGTCAGAAACTTCAAACCTACATCATATTTTGTCTCAGGGGTATACTCAAAAAAGGATTTGGATTACGCTTTGGAGAACTAGGATCAGATATAACTTGTTTCTCCCATGGAGCAATGCTTTCTCTGAACACATAGCTCTTTCGCATCTCAAGACAACCTTGTAATGCTCTATAACCTTTGTTTCATCAGAAGATGGTGTCTCTGCAATAAGAGTTGGAAAGAAATAAGATTATTCAATTTTCAAATACTTGTGTGTGTATGTGTTTTCCTGCATAGATGAAATTACAAACAAAAAGAAAAAGAGATGATTACCAAATGGGTTGATTCTCAGCCTTACAAAGGTCTCGTGCTCTGGTTCTTTCCTAAGAATATCAGCAGCTACAGGATCTGGTTGAACACCATGCAGGTCTCCAGATACACTATGCTCTCCATTTGCATTATTATGTTCTGGTAAGCTCCCATGACCCTGTTTGGTAGATGCCAAACAAATGTTAAAAAGTGTGTGTTTCAAGATGGAATATCAGGTATCGGTTACAAACACACACGGAGATCTAATAATGTATCAAAAGCTTACAGCATTTCCATTAGTATGAAGGTATGTTGTATGTAGATCAGCATTGTCAGTCATATCAGCATCTTCTTCAGACGAATAGGAAGTAGACAGAGAGAGTAAAAGGGAAGGAATAAGTACCGATTGGAGAGGATACGTGATGATTTGAGCAATGATACCTCCGCCAGCTCCGACAAGGCCATTCACGACGGTGTTCGACATTCCTCTCCGTCAATGATTTCTATGAGAGCTATGAAACCATAGAAAATCACAATTCCAGTTTCAAACACATAATTGCTAACATAAACCCCAATTCCAGTTTCTAACCGAGAATTACTAACCTAGGTCGCCAGAGTGGGGCTTGTAATTGTTAGAATTCGTAATCGGGGGTGAAAAGGAAGCCGGCAGTTGGAATCGTCGGTGTTGAAGCTGATCGTCGGTGGTCTTCGGCAACTAGCATGAGGATCGGTGGAGAGAAGAAGAAGATTTGCCGGTGGTGGGAGGTGAGGAAGTCGTCAGGGGAGAATATTTGACCGATCAATCGAGAGAGACCGATGATTGATTACTTAGCGTGCGTGAATGAAACGAAGGGGCTGTTCCAATTTTGGCCGTAGAGAGCTATGAGGACGACAAGTCGTCACTATAGATATCCCCAAAACGACCTTCCCCCATTATTTCCGTCAAAGGATTTAAAACATGTTATTTTTTATTTTTTGTTATTTATTGGAGTGATATGTCGTCCCCATAGGTGTTTCAAGAACGCGTCAAATTCACTTTCGTTCCCGCCTAACATGTTGAGACGAGAGATCGTCGTTGTAACTTCAAAAGTCAAAAATAATTAGTCAACTCTATGGCAACAACATGTCGTCCCTATAGGGCACTATTGCGACGACATATGTCGTCCCTATAGATATCGTCTCTATAGGTGCTTATTCTTGTAGTGATATTTCCTGGTTGCTGTGTAAATCGCATGAGTCGCTAGTTGCAGGTTTGCAGGTGGGTTTAAAGGAAGGGCTGATTTCCAATCCAATTGTTGAACAACAAGCTTCCTGGGTCAGGAATTTTCTGGGATCGGATTAACTTGTAGAGTAACAAGACCAACAAATAAGCTGCAGCTCATTAAAATATAGCATTTATTGATATGTACATATTATGTGTGATATATGTTTAATGCATAAAAAGCATATATTCTTGAAAAAGCTAGCTTAACATTTATCGTTGTCGCATACTCATAACACATGTTCCAAATGTATTAGTATATGTCTATCCTCTCTCCAAATGATAACACCTCCAATTGTTAATACAATGTATATTTCCAATGTGATTGGTATCATAAGTACCCTACTGGACTCTGAAACGTAATACCCCAACTTAACTGATAAAAGTTAATTTAATTTAGGCAACAGATGTTTTATAAAACAACTCTCAATCCAACATAAATTTTACCGTTTTACAAATAATATTAAGATTTAATCATATTTAAACGGTAACTTTCGGTCTCTGTAAATCTAGAGTTCAAAATACAATCTACAGCTCTCGTATGTTTTACTTTTTTTATGGCAATTTGATTTTTATATTGACACTAAGGTGTTGTTTGTTTTGGAAGTGGTTAAATGTCTTTTGTCTTTTTCCATGTTTGCGGAAAAAGACGTGCACTTGAGAAACGTCTAACCACCAGACGGGAAAAGTGCTCAAAAAGTACTTTTGTAGAAAAACAAATGAGGCCTAAGAAAGCATGGAGATAAAATCCATATGTACCTAAAGGAGCTCAGCAATATCAGGATTAACATCAGTGGTTGATTTCACAATCTGCTTGGCTTGGATATACGTATATATTGTATATAACAAATGCTCTTTTCTCCAAGCATACATACTCAGCAAACAAATTTCTCTTTTCTTTCATCAGCAACCATTTTTTCAGCTCTTTGTACCAGTAAACATATTCTCATGACATTTCAACAGTCATGTTTCTCAACTTGAAGCCCAAATAAAAACTGTGAGTCCATCTTAGCAACAATTTGATGTATACATCAAATCACTGAACTTGACACACAGTAGATCAATAATTAGCAATGACCATGACATGGAGAAAGCTAATTGGATCTTTTTTCATGTTCTGTGTACAACCTGTAAATTAACCCAATTGGTACAGGGTCATGAGAAGGATGACCGAAGTCTAATTTTCAAGCATGGGAAATTCATGTCTTAACATATAGAGCTGCATATATCATCCGGATGCTGCTACTGTGATCAGTCATCAGTCCTCAATTCCACATACACAAATACCTCGTTCTTTAAATATTTCAAGTCCTAATTTAGAAAGGTTATTGATCTAAATTGACCATCCTATACTAAGCATTATATCTTAAACCACAGGAAAACCACTCCATTAGTGGTTTTCATTCACTAAAAGAACATAAACCTGATCCACCAAGGAAGTTCGGGGTTAGTTATGTTCTTGAATTAATACAGTCACTGCACATGTCAAATGTGCCGTTATGTTGGGACCTAGGAAGTAAAAGACGCTCCTTTTATCTAAAAGAACTAAAAAGAATAACCTGTAAATCAAACACTGCGTTGTTCCTTTTGGCTTTCAGAAGCGAGTTCGTCATTGTCTCCAGATATAACCCCACCCCGTTTCTTAGATTGAAAGTCATCTCCGGTCGCATACCTACTGAAATTAGGGTCCTGGTAACACCGAAATGCAAGGTGAAGAGCAGTAAGAAGCCATTGACAGGAAAGATATTAAAAACCCAACCTGTAAGAACAAAAGGGTTCGATTCGTATTTGGAGGAACGAGGAGTGGGTGATTCCATGAAGGAACAGGTAGAGTAAGTCATAAACGACAATAATCAACCGACCAGAATCGTCCGCTGAGTTGTTATAGCGGGATTATGATTGATCACGAGGAAGGTCCGACGACAACAACGGATGATATACAAATCAACCTGCAATATCGAATCGAATGGGGCGTCTATTTCGGGTAAAACATTGAACCACGTCCCCCAAAAGTGAAAAAACACCCAACCCGGCCGATCATGTGTTGGTGTTGGTCAACGTACATTTGAAAAGGTAGCACGTGTGTTTCACGCGTTGATTCGTATAACTTGATTTTCTCTCTTGTTTTCTCTTGAGTGTTTTTTTTTTTTAAAAAAGTTTCTTCTTATTTGAAAAATCTTTTTATGTTAAAAAATTCATTTTAAACATTTATTATCTACTAACTTTTTAATATTTTTAACTTTATCATATTGATCTCTATATTAATTAATATATTATATTTTATATCCCAATGATATTTAAATATTATATTTTTTATTAGTTAATCAATTAATTTAACAAAAAAATAAAAATTAATATACTTTATAAAAGATTTATATAAATTAAAATCATTTGTCATAATTGTTAAAATTTTAAAATATCAAATACTATAAAACATTTCGGTTACATAACATCTTATTGTTTTAGTAGTTTTATAATCTTTTATAGTTTTGGGAAAAACATCCAATAATGAGAAATTATAAATTATATGAGGGGGTTTAATAAGACATTTAATATAGATAAATAATAAAATATTTAAACTAATTTTTTTTTTAAAAAACATTAACTATTAGAGTATGTATTTACTAAAAACTTTTTATAGAAAAAAAAGTCATTGGATTGGTAAACTATTTTTAAAAGTTAATCCAACAACTTAGTATTCACTAAGTGGTTATTCTAATAGTATTTTATTTATAAATTATGCCATTTGCTTTAATAATGTTTGTTTTACCCTATAATTATATTAAATATTTATAAGATTTATGTTTTTTCACTAATTAGTCAAATAATCAATGTTATATATATATATATATATATATATATATATATATATATAAAAGTTAACCTCTGAAATGCTCTAAAAGAGAACAATTTAAATCTGAAAGAAATATAAATTTAAGTTATTTAACACCAATATTTTTCCCAAAACAACTCCAATTTTCAAAATAAGTAATTAATGTTAGTTATAACTTTTTCATAAGATTTCATTTACTTACTCATAATAATACTAGTTATAACCCGTGAGAATCACGGTTATAAAATTAATTAAATTTTCTTATTAAAAATTAAAATTATTAATCAATTATTTTAAATAAATTATTACTTAAGAGATATTTTTTAGTTATATAAACTTATAATCGTTGATTTAAATAAATACGTGAAGTTATATCACCTTATAATCTGTATTAATTTTATTTTATTTTTCAATGTAATTTTATTAATTTAATACAATTAGTGTGAGAAAATTTAAAATTTGAAATTTAAAATGAAAAATCAATTATTAATTTAATTTAATTAGAGTGAGAAATTTAAAATTTGAAATTTGAAATTTGAAATCAATAATCAATTATTAATTTAATGTAATTAGAGTGGAAATTTAAAATTTAAAATTTAAAATGGATAATTAATAGATTGACAAGTGGCATGATTATTGATATAAAACATTAATGATGAGTTCTAATTGTATGACACTTGTTAATAGGAGATTAAACATATTGTTTTATTAGAATAGGGAGAAGATTTAGTTATCCTTATTAATTTCTATCTATTAATTACTCATATTCTTGAGAATTATTTATTAATATTTTTTATTTTAATTATTTGAAAACAAATTTGATTATTTCATTCGTTGATTGTAATGAAAAGTGATAAAAATGAATGTATATTCAATATAATAAATATAAAACAAATAAGAAAACCAAAATAAATAATAACAAACTAAAAGTATTAGATCATAAAATTTTTCTTTCTCATCTCACTGACGACTTCAAATCATTTTTATAAATATAAGAGAAATGAGTAGATCTACTACTATTTCAAGTCTTTTGTCTATGTAAAAAGGACAACTTAGTATATTTGCAAAACCTAAACCTTTCAAATCCCCAAATTAAGAAATTCTTTCAAATTATGATTTTTGGCTAACGAAACTTATTCCAATATTTTAGTACTCAACATTTAAACATATTTAGTAGGAACGTTGAATAGGTAGTCCATAGTGGGCCATCCATGTAGAGTTGGCGATCACAATGAGCTATCCAGGTAGAGTTGGCTATCATCTCTCCTAACAAACATGTGGTTGTAAATTATTCATGGTAGTTTAAAGTGAAAGTTTAGATGATGCTTATTAATATAGTAACATGTAGTTTCTTAGACTCTTTTTGTTTATTTTGACACAAGTTTTGTTAAATTTTATTTCAAGTGCCTTTCTATGTAGGACCCCGCTTAAGTAGGCCAGTTTCGTTAAATTTCTTCTATTTTTTTGGTTTTCTATTATTTATGGTTTGTAATTGTAACTATAAAGAAATCCTTGTCTCCTTGACGTTGGAGGTACTCTTGAGAATGTTATATAATATAAATGGAAAATTGTCGGCTAAAACATATTTTTATGAGGGCAAAATTTTAGTTTGCGTAGGATATTGTCATATTTAGCTTTTCCTATTAATGATCTAGCAAACTTGTATATCGGAAAAGCATGTGGTTTCTCAATCTTAGACTTCTTAACGGTTATATATGTAACAGATCACTACAAGGATAGGGAGCTATGCAGACGACACTTATCCCGACGACGCATGTCGTCGCTACAAGTACCCCTATCCCGACGACATGTCGTCGCCATACCTTTTGCAAACTTTGACCAATTTACTTTGACCAGGACATCTGTGCCGACGACAAGTCGTCGCGACAAGTCTGTCGGGAACGACAAAAATGTTCGCGGTATTATGAAATTCTATACCGACAACATGTCGTCGGTATAGGTATAAAAAAAATCTATTTTCCATTTATTTTTATTCCATGTGTTGGAAAAGTAATTAATGTTACATAAAGTCCAAAGCAACTTATCTTTAGATGTATTGTCATGTAGGTGAGAAAAAAGAGAAGAAAAAAAAAACACCCCTTTTGAATTTCTTATATGAAACAATGGTAGTTTAAACTTTAAAGATATGACGAGTGCATTTGTGAGATTTTTAAATAGTAATAGTAAATTTATATAAGTATATTGAAGTTTTGAATGAACATTCTAGACAATATAAACTTATTAATAAAGAAGTCCAAATGATGTTGTAATGTCCAATAATAAGATTTGAAGAAGAAATAATAATAAGATTTGAAGAAGAAATCTGTGTTTTATTGAAATTTCAAATAAAATTTCAATAATTTTCAACAAATTTCTAATTATTTTGATTAAACCAGTCATAATTGAGAAAAGTAACTACTGACAAGAAATAAGCCTCAAAATGAAAAAGAAAAGTAGCAAAAGACTCATAGAAACAAAGATTAATTACCCACTAAACTCAGGAGAAAGTGAGAAACAAGGGAGGGGAAGATACAAATGGAAATGTCACCACCATTTATCATTTTATGACAATGATGCAAAAGAAAAAAATTGAGAGCATGAACTAGAAACTGTTGGTGATTTTATATCATCAATATTATTTAAATGTAATAGGATTAAATTTGTTGACCAAAAATGATCTTGTTGAATATTGAACAAGTTAGGATGGTGTAGGAGTGCACACTTGTTCAAGTTTTTCAATATTCAAAGTACATTGTTATTTAGGGGCGAAGCCCCTAAACGAACGGGGGTCCGGGGGCAGCGCCCCTGAGAGCGGGGTCCCAGGGGCGACAGTGGTGTCAAGGTTCTAAATAACGTAAGGCGTGACTTGGCGGCAATGTCAAGCCTCAAAAATCCAATTTTAGAAAGTTGACCCTTTTTTCCCTGAGATCCGTTTAATCACAGGTTTGGTAGTTTTATGACAGTTTGTAACTGTCTATTGACAGTTTTCAGACAAAAATGATATATTCGTTTTTGGTCATTTTCCTGGTACATCTTGAAGAACTTTTTCACATACATTCTCAGATTTCATTCTCTGAATTTCATCCAATTGAGTGTTCGATCTGTACCATCGAAATACTTCAATTTGATAGTGAATCACGACTTTCAGAGAATCCAAGCAATCTATTCATCCCCTATTTTCTAACAAAAACTCTGCAAATTAACAGTCGAGAGACCTGTGGGAATGGATTTAGTAGTCCCTGTATCGGTAAGGTTCCTATACTATCTTAATAGAAGATTGCAAATCATGTTGGATAGTATATGTAATTCCATCTTTACGTTCATTTTTATTAAATTCAAAAGAAAATGCTAAGCCTTTTGTTGTTGTAGCTGATGACCTTTAGTTTTCCTTGGAACAAGCTCAGCCCCAACGTAACTCTTGCCTGCATACAGCCGATCTGTCACCCATGTCGTTCCATATTTTCCATGTTTCGGTGCTTCACTAGACTCCTGTCAAAGCTCTAATCCGGGACCTTCATCCACCTCCTGCTTGATGATAATATCAATCTTCGGTTGAGGCATATTAAGAACCCGCAATAGTCATTGTACCAATCCTTTGGGAGTACAAGACAAGTGGTTGAGACTAGATAAGCGGTTTTCCTTCTGTTAGGACTTTGATGTTTCAATTGTTCATTAAGTTGTTAGGTTCAACTAATAAAGTTGTAGTTTCATTGGGAAAACATGATTAATAACAGTAACCCAACAGCTTAAATCTTTATTGCACTCCGAAGATGTCTAAACTAATTCAAATCTAGTAACATATTATATCAACTAAGTTAAAACCCGTGGAACCCACATGTGTTAATTTTAAATAGAATTTAAAATTTAATTATGTAATAAAATAATATTTCATTAATTTAGAAACCTTATGAATTGTAATATTGTATTTTTTAATAACTTTTTGATTTGTAGGTATTTAATTACACAGTAAATGGTAAGTATTTAATTACAAATGGAGATTTTTAAAACCCTTACTTTTGGTGCATGATTCTCGTTGAACATATGGAGATGATGACACAACCACAAAGGAGCGAGTGGGAAGAAAAAACGTTTGTTGGCTAAAACGCAACTTTTGCCATTATAACTTACCATCCCAATAAATCTTCAAGTCCACTGTCTCGATCA